CATGGTTCTGTTGGGTCTCAGTGGATCCGACCATGGTTCTGTTGGGTTCTGTTGGGTTCTGTTGGGTCTCAGCTTTTGTCATTTCTCCTCAGAAGGTGATTTCAGTTCAGAGCTGGCGGGCGACACATTTGTTCAGGAAAGTTGAGCTTTAACTCGTTAAATCTACGACTGTGAAGAAGCAGAGACTTTTAATAAACAACATTTTTAATGGTTTTATTTGTAAAACAAAACAAACAAAATCAACAGAAATCAAAAGTAAAAGATCAAATACAGAATTTTTCTTTCCGTAAACTTTAGAAACAAACAAAAAAATCCATCTCTGACTGAAATCCTCGTCTTTCCTCGGCAGCTCACAGACGGTGACCTTTGACCCCGAGCCACTCCCCCCGCTGGCCTACCTGCGACCAGGTGACCCCGGCCTCCTACCCCAACCTGCAAGGAAACAAGCTCCGCCCACCAGGTTTGTTTTAATGTCAAAAGCTATTTATTTCTTTGATCCTTCAGTAAACAGTTTTATCAATTATTATTGTTATTGTTTTATCATTGTTATTAATATTATTATTGTTATTATTATTATTTTATTAATTTAAAGATGAAAATCCAGCAAGAGCAGATGTAGATTTCCTCCACAGGGTTCTGTTTGTTTTTAAAGTTCTTTTATAACTTAAATGAAGTTCGATCTCATAAATCTGATCAAAGGAAAAATTTCACGTCACAAACTGAACTCAAAGGTTTTTAATCCAGAAAAATAAAAATAAACAGTTAAATGTTTCATTAGTTCCAGTTTAAACTCACATCAACACTTTCCGGTTTAAATAAAAAGATTTTAAATAGATTTAGACCAACAGTGGATCAGGTAAACAAACAAACATCAGTGTGAGCAGATGTGTTTTCAGAGAACATCTGGCTCCACGCTCTCGTCCTACAATCCAGAGTTTGAGGAACAAACAATTAAAAGTGAATTTGGAAACTTTATTTTTTCTCGAAGACGTTTGCAGAGCGGAGTTCTGGTTCTGATCGGATCCACCTGCTTCAAGTCGCCCAAGTTTAAAAACAAGCACTTTACAAAACAAAGTAAATGAAATGTGAAAATTAAACATTTCTTCTGAATGAATCGGACTTTGTGTCTGCGTTCAGTAAACAAACAGATAAATTCAGAGAAACGGGCTCGAACTCGTCGGCTCTGGAATATTTGATGATTTTAGTTTAAACTTTGTCGTTCAGACGATCGGAACATCTGATCTGTTCTCATGACCTCCTCATGTTTTCTTGTTTGTTTTCTTGTTTGTTTTCTCGTTTGTTTTCTTGTTTGTTTCTTGTTTGTTTCTTGTTTGTTTTCTCGTTTGTTTTCTTGTTTCTTGTTTGTTTCTTGTTTGTTTCTTGTTTGTTTGTTTGTTTTCTTGTTTGTTTCTTGTTTGTTTGTTTGTTTTCTTGTTTGTGTCAGGGGGAAACTTGCTGCAGTCAGCTCGCAGCGCTGGCGCCCGACGTTGGAGAAATACATCAACGAGGTTTAACGTTTGACTCGTCATCTCCAGCCTGTTGGAAAATAAATCGCTGCGTTCAAATAAAGACGAGACTTTTTTTATTTTATCTGACGAGAAGAGTTTTAAGAGCCGGAAGCAGGAAATGAAGTTTACTCAGCGAGCGGTGAAGAAAAAGAGTCAACAGGTGGAGCAGACAAACGTCCATCATTACCTGCTGCTGCTGTCCACGTCCAACACTCACTGTGTGAGAGGTGGGGGGACACATGGACAGTTCTCAATCCATCACAGGGACACGTGGACAGGTCTCAGTCCATCACAGGGACACATGGACAGGTCTCAGTCCATCACAGGGACAC